GAAAGAAATAGAGAAAGGTATAGATTCTACAATCGATATATAAATAGAATCATTTGAATAACATACACTTACTCCATCAATTTAACCTTTCTCAAAGATCGCGCACGGATGATGTCGTGATTATCGAAAATTACTTAATGAGTATGATATTCGTGTTTAACACGTTAGTTCGATGACGAGATTCTATACCCCTCACGCAAACCGATAATCAAAGCTCTCACGTTTTTTGGCGAGGAGAACGCGACGAGAGCGAGCGATTTGCACCGTCTTCCACATATTCTTCCACATAAATTAATGCTGCACGATCTCGGTTCTATCGTCGAAAATCATCACGTGCCTCCGCAGCGCGGGTAAATTTTCTTGTTATTTTATGCAAATGTCTTGCTTGTGAAAAAATGGTGATTTTCCTTTTCCTTTCTTTTACCTTAAACATCCTAGCTAATCGAAAATAGTTCTGAATCTTATTATTTTATATATATTAATAATTTATCAAACAATTTTATTATCTTAGGAGCAGACATACTCCTCAGTGAAATGGCAAAAAAATTTACATCACGGTTTGTTACCTTTACTTAATCTTATTACTTAATATTTTCTCCGCGCATTGACAGACCGAACGTTTTCATATATTATGAGGTGCTAATACTGGTCTGGTTTCACGATAAACTTTACTGCCGGTCATTTATAATCGATCTTTAACAGTTAACGATTACCTAAACTCTGCCTTGCCCGTCGCGGTCCTTATTGCGCCGTCGCGTATCGTCCGTCCTCGTTAATAAGAACTCGCTTTCAAAAAGCATTTACACGTCATCAGCATCACTATCACGGCTACTCACATCTCCGCTGATGCGTCGCGGTGACACTCGCGGTCGTTACCCGTTAACGGACAACATTTTTCTATTTTGTACGCTTAATTCGCGAGCCATATTTGTAGACAGGAGTTTGTTCGGGCAGTTGCTTGTGACGCTATACATTGATATAGTTAATCGGCGATTTGTAAGCCACTTCCGGACACCGGCCATAGAGGAATCAAGATTTAGGGGCACGATTTATATAGTAGCGAGTTAGATAGAAATTTAGGCGTAATTCTCTTGAAGTTCGTATTGGGCAGCGACCGTTTCAAGCAAGGGAACCTCGTGGCACATCCGATTCTGCTCATATTTCGGATTAATATTTCAAAAAATATTCTTGAACAATATGAAATTATTTATTAAATAATAAATTTAGATCATCTGTATATATATATATGTTGAAATATATATACGTATTTGTAGGTAAATTTTGACAATCGTATAGAAATGAGCTGATACCTGTATTAAATTCAGTTTCAAAATTTTATCGCGACAATTCTCTTTCAAGATAAACGTGTTGTTTATTGTGCTTGTGAAAAATATTGCGATTGTTCCCTTGTTCGTCACACACGAATCATTATCGCAGCGCAGTCCGTCACTCCAGGTTAAACGTAAGCGATTCAACGATGGCGTGGCCTATTCATTACTGATAAAACCGTATCGAGTTATTTTCGTATGAACGAGTTTCGATAACATATTAGCGATTTTATATTGAACACACTCGTGGCCTTTACTTGATATAAATATAAATATATATATATCGAAATAATATAGGTAGTATACTAAATAACAACATTAGCGGAGAAAGAGATGGAGAGAGATGTAAGGATATCGCGCCATAAAGGATTCATCTTCTTGCAACACAAGATTGAATTGCGCGGTACCCGCTAATGGGTTGGTTAGCTACCAAGATTTCCGAAAGAATGAGGGAACGAGTGCGAGAGAGGGAGAGAATGCGATGAAGGAAATAATTAACCGTATGAAAGAGGCCGAGTGATAGCGAAAACACACGTTTATGGCAGTCTGGGTAAGTTTGATGCCATTGTAATTTTTAAAACTATTTGTCCTTTTAAGAAAATTCTATGCAATAGAAAATTAAAATTAACGAAACTTGAAGTAACGTGTAACCTCAAGAAATGCTGCCAATTTTTTCATATGATGGAATGAAAACAAAAAGCGATAATAATATGATACGGACGAGAGATGTATAAGCTTCATTTGGAAGGCAGATCGCGAAATTATTCAAATATAAGCACGATCGTCGTATCATAAGTTTGTATTTTGCTACATTATTATCATCAAAACGCGTTACAATAATATGCGAAGTAAAAAGGAGGAAAGAGTATAGGAGTAATAATCATAGATATTTTTTTGATTATATTTAATATTAAAAATTTACAAATTAGTAGTGTTATATTATTAATATTAATGTTTACAATTTAGTAGTTATTATTTTATTATTATTATTATATTATTATTATTATTATGCAGATAATATTGAATGAGAACTAAAGCAAAGCATTTTATAGTCGTCAATTTATATTCTGTAAGGTAATCCAGCAGATAGATTTAGTCGCAATTTAGATATATTAAAAACAAGAAGCATATTTGGGAAAAAGATTCTATTTTTATTCAAGTTATTTCAAATTTAAAAAAATTTTTTTCTATGCACATATATATATATATATATATCTGTGCAATCAAATTCTCCTACGCGACTGAATAGGTATATCTAATAAAAATAATTGACAATTATTCTCAATTTTATTTTAGCTTTCCATTTAGGAATGTATAAACTTGCGACTAAATGTATATGTGCGAACAAAATGGAAACAATATTATATACTAGTTAAAGAGATCGCATGATAACTTTCTAACAGTCGATGAAATGGGCGAGAGCAAACTTGAAAACTTGTCTCGATACTCTTTGGCGATTAAAAGCTTTGGCGAAACCGATAAATTTTTATTGAGACATTCCAGAAGAATTTCCTGTAAAGTACTTTATCTCCACGATTTATTATATTTTGGATTTCTGTGAATAACGAATTATAAATATTCCGTTTAAACTACCGATTTAGATATTGCGCCTTGACCTTTTTTTTTGCCTCTTCGCGAAAAAATATGATATTTCCACTTATCTTTTGGAATGTATTTAATTCTAGAATGCAATTTTTGCCTTCGAATCGATACTTATACTGGAATTGTTCGTACGTGGATTCGTTTGTGGAAAGGTCATATACGATACGTATATTAGATGTTTCGTTCGTATAGATCTATAGATCACAATACTTTTGATTATATATTTGCAAGATATTAGAATATGTGGTTGAAATAAATGATTAGCGTGAGGAGGCAAAACTGTCCAATTATCATTTTTTACAAACAGATGTAACCAATTTTCAGCTCGATTCGATATTTCTGAAATTTCATGTACAGTGGGAAAACATGCGTTTTGTGTCGCGTTTATGTAAAATTATTTTTATCTTTGAAATGTGTATTCTAGAGTTAAATAACACTAATCTTTCATTTACATTCACGAAGGAAGATCTTAACGTAATGAAGCTACGTTTGTATTATGTCTCTCATGAAAGTACCACGTAGTGTTATGGCATTTTTTCTTAGACTTGAACATATCAAAATGTGCATTAGGCGCCTATCACGCGTTTTTTCGTCTTTCTCTATTCAAGCTATTGAAAACTCTGCGATATCGTTCTTTTTCCACTTTTCTGCATTCGTGAGAGAAAGATACTTATAGCAGTATTATTATTGAGCTATTGAAAACAGCAGGATACATGAGGTACACACGTATTTTACTGAAAATAATATTATTTGTTGCTGTGAGATGAGAGATATAATGTAAAAACTACTTGTACTTTCTTGAGGTAACTAGAGATTGTTTAAATAAAAGATTCATATATCTCAAGTTGGCTGACAGCTGTCAATCCTCTGTCAATCCGTTAGATAGATTATTAATCTATGTATATAACAAAGAATTAAAAGTGAGTGACGATATATAATCGAAATTTCTAAAGTTCGTTATTACAGTTTTACAATACAATGATTACAATTGGAGAATAAGAAATTAAAAACTAAGGAGAAACAAATGGTAGCAGATCGAATATGTCATATCTAAGCGACTAACAATAAATAGAGAATAAAACAGTTGCAATTTAGAAAAAAAAACGAAATTCTAGGACCATTGTATTTAAATTTTCTCTCTCTCTCTCTATATATATATAAATTTAGTCAAGATAAATTACAGCAATGTCAAATGATGCAATATAAAAATTGACAGTTGATATTTTGAGCATTAAAAATTTAATAAACTAAGATTTTATTCACATGTAATATAAATACAAAAATAAGACAAGAACAAAATAAAATATTTTAGAAAAGATGGCCAAAGAGAATCATCGAAAAGATATATAATCGTAAACCGAAACATAATCTTAGAGATATCGATAATCGATCTACAAGTAAGTATCATTCAATAATAATAGGGAATAATATTAATATTGTTCTTTGAGTTAAATTAAAATATATATTATGTGTGTGAAATATCATATTAATCGAACTTTATAAAATCTTTTTAGGTACTTTAAAAAAATCGTAAGCCGTAAGCGCTTCGTTCTTTGATACATTCAAATATTACCGCCTTAACAGCTGTTCGGATTCGGTGAACTTCGTCAAATGTCAACAGCGCGCGGCGCATGCGCTTCGACGATGATATTCAGAAACGACGACGTTTCTCGTGCGAGTGTGAAGTGTGAAGAATGTCGCGTCTCGTTGAACCGAATCATGCCACGAGAATCCCTGGTTGCGAGTCCTCCGACGATGAGGATGCCGATTATGGCAGGTGAGTGTCAGGGTGACACGTGGTTTCACACACGTAATTCGCGATGGATTCCGATAACAGAAACCGGCGCCCGCGTTGCATCACTATCGGCGATATAAACGCTCTTTGTTTACATAGGCCAGGGATCCGCCGGATTATTTTCAGCGATTCACCTGATGCACGATGCTTTAACGTACGCGCGTGACAGTGAATCGGAAACATTCGTCGTTCCGAACATGTGCGTCGAATGTATTCCGTCTATTATGTATGTCCGTTGCTCGTTTTGCGAGTGTTGCGCGACGATTCCGTATCGGAGTGACAAAGTCGACAATCAAGACGCGAAGAGAATCCTTAACTGCAAACTTGGCAATTTGTATCATGCAAAACACATTTCCGTTAGTCAGTACACGAATCTGTAATTCCTTGCCGTTTATCAATTCTTGAGATTGTGGATTATAATTGATTCCAATATGTTAATGCATTGTTATAATCAGATCTATTATTAGATATACACATAATTATATAATTATTTTTTTATCCTTTAGAGATTTTTCTAAAATAGAAAAATTATAAACAAGAATCTTTTCTGAAAAGAGTCTTTTTACTTTTCTGTATTTGTATGAGTTTTCTCTTGTATGATATGTATACCAATAATGTTTGCAACAAGAAAAGAGTTAGGAACCCTTTATACAATTGTTTTAAACAGAATTTTTAATGAAATTTTGAAATGAATTTATAATAAAATTAATCTTAATTTGATAGATGTTACTATAATAATTATTAAGAAAATTATGCCATATCTTTGGTATAACGAGCAACATGTTTGTATAAACGTTCCAATTTGAAAGTTTGACGACAGTTTGTTATCTCTCCATTAACATTATATTATTAATATAACAGATAAAGAGAATTGTCTGAGAATCAATATTTTACAATTTGATTAGTTAAATAGTAATTTTGCATTAAATGCAAAGAAATAGCGCTTTTCAATTATATACTGATGGTTTTAGTTAAAGTTGAAAATTCTTTTTTATGTTACAAAAGTAATTTTAACAAATTGTCATCAAAGTATTTCACATTTGAGCATTTATATAAATATGTTGTAGCTTTAGATCCAAAAGTAAAATGTTTTTCACATAACTATATGTTAAAATGTTGAGTGTTCTTCGAAAGAAAATCACATAGTTATATGATGAAAAATTATATGAATATAATTCTCTAGGAGATAATATTTTATTTCAAAAGTAACATCCTGTCTTGGGGAATTTCCCCGACAATAATCAGCGACAAACTTTCCGGCGGAAATATATATTCGATTAAACATCTTGTTTACAGTAAGGTTGATTCGTCGAACGATTTCGAGGAGTCGCTGCACGCGATGTCCGATATTTACGGACAAACTCCACCCAGGACTCGTCTCAGTCGCAAGAAAAGACACATGAAGCAAAAATTCTCAGGCAGGTACGTGATTAAAACTTCAAATTTTAGATCCGCTCGAGAAATTTTACTAAGAATAATATGTGAGAGAATACATAATTATTACATACAAATATTTCACTGTTAACACGATATAACTTTTTATTGACAATAATTATAATTGTGTAAATATTTTGCAGCATATTAAATATAACTAGAGTTAACGAGCAACACTGTAAAATATAAACAATATGTTTTCATATAATTTTAAGGCAGAAAATATAGAATAATATTTTTGAGAAAAATTATAAGAAATGAAAAAGAATTATTTTTAACAAATACAGAAAATAAAGGGCCATTGTTTACTGAAAGTAGTTTTCGCGATATCGATTGAATCGTTGCTAATTTAATTGTCACTCGAGTGACTACAAAGTATCTGAGGCTATCTTTAGCTTTTGTCATTTTCTAGTGATCTTAAATCGATAGAAAAAGAAACTCGGCCAAAGACAACTATTCGAAGGCGCAACACCCTGGATACCATTATCTTCAACGAAATGTGCGATAAAGCGGACAAAGATCGCGAGAACGAGGCAAAGGAGGATGCGAAAGAGGGCAGCAGAAAGTGCAAGAGGATCTTGAAACTATTGCGCGGCAATGAAAGAGATTTGAAGCTTGATGTAGAAGCTGCCTACAATTATGCCGAGAAACACAATGGTGACATGGCAACAGTGTTGACGCCGAATCAAATCAAGGTTCGACAAAATAAAAAAACAATTTTGATTATTAGTTGTATTTAGAAAACGTAACGATTTAATATCTGTGACTTGCGTATATTTCTAGTCTATCAATCAAAAGCCGATTACTCGACTTGTGTTGAATTTTCTGGACAGAACTCCATACTCTTATCTTTTTGCAAGCTCTTTTACTGTTCACATTTGGCATGTTGTCAAGCAAAAATATACTCTTTTTCACAGATTGAGACTAGAAATAGATTTCGCTGTTTGCGGTCCAAGCCAGTTGATGTGGAGGAAAAAAAAGTGGAGCGAGAAATTATCGAAAAAAGCGTGTTGATAAACGAAAAGAATTTAAGCGCGCAATCGCCGAGGACGCAAAGCTTGAAGGAGAGAGAAATATTTCATGACACTTTTTCTTTTTTAATTAAATTAGTAAGTATCTTGAACTTATTGCACATAAAACTTACATTTGTGTGATTTTATTAATAAACTCAAACATACAAATTAAAATAATTTTACTTTTGTTGTATAATATAAAATGAACTCGAATCATAAGTTAACTTTATATTATCTTTAAGATATATTACACTTTTATTTTTTATTGTGTCATCAAAATTATATATTTACCAAGATTTTTTAAAAATGGTGTATATAAATAGTAAATTTTTTTTTTTTTTTTTAAATACAGGGGAGTACAGAGCGGAATTGTCGCCGTCAAATGAGTCACGAAGAAAGCAGTTGGCAAAACGAACTAAAGGATCTGATTTGGCTGGAACTACAGGCACATCATGCAGATCGTAGCCCGATGGCGCAGGATGAATATTTATGCCGTCAACGCGAGGCAGTAGAGGTTCTACTTACAGAAATAATGGAGTACAAGTGAGCAAAAACATATTTAAAGTTTTCAAAATACTACTTCAGAAACGCAAAATGAAAAATATTTTCTTCATGAAATCGAAAATTGATGTGCGCAATATATATTAACAATTGATTGCAAGAAACAAAAATAATAGCAATATATATGTATATAAGTAAACGCAATTATTGTTTCATTAGATACGATCCCATGACGGATGTGCAAGAGGCAGGTTGCATCAGCCCTGGCGACATTGCGAATGATCGATCTGCAAATCCAGGTTCCAGTCCGAACATTGAACTGGGTGTATGTCCAGGTTGCCTCTCCATGTACTGTCGTGCATGCGCTCGTGAACAGGGAGAAGCGTTACAACAAGTGGAAGGTCTATTAGCTCGTCTGGAGGCAGCGGAAGCCTTATATCCATCTTGCCAGGCGTTTGCCGCTAATTATCCGTTATACAAGAGCCCAGAATTCACCGACAGAGTGAAAGCTATGTGTCTCTGGTATAACATGACGAAACACCATCGGCTTAAATTACAAATATTGGGCAGATTGCTCATGATGCTGCATAGTAAGAAGAAACAGGAGGATTTTAACGACTCCGGCATAAGGTACATTATTTGAATCGCATTATCTTCTCTCAATAACTTGGAATTATACTTTCCGAATTTCCGTACATTATGAACGAATTTTATTCTTCTCCAGGATAAAAAAGATATTTTTGAATTCTTCTTCATGTGTAGAAACTTCGGAGTTAGATAATCGATTGTTTCTATCCTTAGTTCGCGATCCTCGGATACTGTCGATTCTATGGAGCAGCGACAATCCATGGTGCGATTCGAGCTATCTCAACAGGACGAAACTTCCAGTCCCTCTGACAGCAATAATAGCAATAATTCTTCAGTAGGAGGTTTATCTTTCATATCGCAGTCATTGCCGCCTACTCCGGAAATTTCGTTCTCGTATGTGGAAGACGAAAGAGTCGATCGACTCGATTTCTACTTGGTCGAATTTGATCGACACGCTTACAGGTATATTTCGAATTTTTAAATATATATTTAATCTTAGTATACTAATATCTAAATATTTTTAATTTAAATGTGTTATATTAAATAATTTTTTGACATTATAAAATTTATTAGAAACTTTTTTGTATCTTTCTTTTATTTTAAAGCAACTAGATAAAATTTTGAATTTGGTTATGCGATATAAATATCTGATTTATGTAATGACAATTTTTGTTGGCACATTCAGAAAGTATATCGAGGATGTATTGAAAACGAGAGGTCTCAGAAAAAGTTTGAATTTCCTGGATCGATTGCACACATCTATCTTGAGGAAAGCGAGATTAACTTTGGAAAAAAATAACTTCGAAGAATGTGATAGCAATGCAAATGAAGAATACGAAGGTGATAGAGAGCTACAACGGTATGGCATTTGGAGTCCCGAAGCAAAGGAGTTAAATTTGCCATCATATAGGTATATTTGGAATTTTTTATTTCTTAAAAAAAATTTTCCGTTTGCTCAGATCTTGAAAAATTAATTTTACTTTAACATTCTGGTTTAAACTAAATTTAATGTCAAATTAAAACTAAGACATTTATGAAATAAAATTATATTAAACTAAATTACAAAGGAAAAAGCAAAACAAATGCCTATATTTTCGATAATATTACATTTGTCAGAAGAGACTAATATACATAGAATACTTTTAAATGACAAACTCTTTCTTAGAGGAATTTTTAAACATAATTTGGACCAGATTTTTTTGGACCAGTTCGTCAAATAATTTTTTTTATGTGGATCTAATATAGAGTAGAGAGAGTCAAATTATACATGTTGTAAATTGTTATATTTCAGGGCAGCTTTCGTGTTTCTTTCGCGCGTGCCATTGGACGTAGTTCACGAATTTCTAAGAATGAGACTAGAACAAAAACCGGAGCAGCCGAGTCCGTTGTCGGTCCGACAGCTCATGCGGGAACTTCGGGAGGGCATCAAGATCGCTTGCATTCATCGCGACCGATTCGCCGCGCATTCTTGCGCTGCTGTTGCGAGCGACGAAACCGACTGCGAGAGTCTGTTTGAGGAAGACGTCAAGTATTTCGATGAGAGCCTGAGAGCTGTGTTTGAGGTCTATCTAGATTATCTTCAGCAGTGGGTGGACATGGTGCAGCATGACAGCTTTCACAAAAATCTGATCATGGATGAGTGGTTGTTTGTCAAGTCCATCGCTGGAAACATAAGTGATGGATATAAGATTGCTGGCGTAAAATTCTAGTGAGTAAAATATCGAAATAATTGCATATATTCTATATACAATAATTAGATATATCTTCTCTATATTTTATTTATTCATTAGAACATTTTATATTCTATTAAATAATTTTCTATTAGTCTCAGCTTTTCTACTCGATCTACTCGAGTCATATATATATATATATATAATTACATACAAGGGCTGTCCATAAAGAAACCGAACATTGTTTAAAAAAAATTTAACTTACATATTATTTCGGCTCAATCTCCTTCAAAGTATTCCCCTGCATTGTTAATACACCACTCCCAGTGTTTTTTCCACTGTTGGAATGCTTCCTGGAATTCTGTTTCTGGAATAGTGTGTAGGTCCTGTAGCAAATTTTCCTTAATCTCTTTTATTGTTTGAAAACGGCGGCCTTTCAAGATCGATTTTAATTTTTTGAACAAGAAAAAGTCCGCAGGAGCCAAGTCGGGAGAGTAGGGGGGCTGAGGAACAACAGTCGTCGCATGTTTTGCTAAAAATTCATTGATAAGGAACGATGCTTGTACGGGTGCATTGTCGTGGTGCAGCATCCATGAATTGCTGACCCACGCCTCCGACCGTTTCTTTCTCACTGCCTCTCTCAAACGCTGCATTACCGTCAAATAAAATTCTTTGTTGACTGTTTGACCACGCGGGACGAACTCCTGATGAACGATACCCTTCCAGTCAAAAAAGACAATCAACATGATCTTGATGTTGGAGCGACTTTGTCGTGCTTTTTTTGGTCGCGGTGATGATTGTACTTTGGTTTCTATGTCATAATCGTACACCCACGTCTCACCACCTGTTATGACATTTTTCAAAAAGTTTTCGTCATCATTTGACCGATCCAAAAGCTCCCGACTGACAATAACGCGTTTTTCTTTTTGTTCCTCGGTCAGCAGCCGTGGCACAAATTTTGCTGCAACGCGATGCATGTTCAGTTTTTCGGTCAAAATCAAGTGACACGAACTTTTACAAATTCCCACTTCTTCTGACACTTCACGGACAGTCAACCGACGATTTTTCCTGATAACATCATGCACTTTTTGAACATGATCATCGTCAGTTGACGTTGACGGCCGTCCAGATTTTTCATTATCCTTGATTGTTGTTCTGCCCAATTTGAAACGATTAAACCACTCGTAGCACTGTGTACGGCTCATACATTCCTTCCCATAACCTTGTTGTAACATTTTAAAAGTCTCAGTGAAAGTTTTCCCCAATTTAAAACAAAATTTAACACACTCTCGTTGTTCTTCAAGAGCCTTCATCTTTTTCGTCTAGAAAATCGCCACGAACATAACCTCATTCAAGCCATCGTAAAACGTAAACTAAAAACAATAGCGTCAAGAACCCCACACCCCACTACACAGCGCCACAAGACTGCGCATTCGGACGCTTTTTTTAAAGTTCGGTTTTTATATGGACAACTCTCGTACATATACAATATATGATTCTAATAGAAAAGCTGAGATTAATAGAAATATTAGATGTTCTAATGAATAAATAGAATAAATAAAACTGTTCAATAAAACAATAGACAACACAAGTTAAATTATTATTTAATAATTTTTATTATTATATTTCAATTTGTATTGTCATGTTTGTGATATTATTTTTTTATAGCGAAATTGCACATACGATGATTAAACAAGTTAATGAATTTCTCACTGAACGGACTCGCGAGATCTGTGAAAATGTGGAAGAAAAGGAGGATGACGAATTGTCATGCAAGTAAGAGATAATTTTAATTCATTTACCTATATTCGATTTATCTTAGATACTTTATAGCTGTTTGTTCTACAGTGAAACACAGTTTAGATTCCATCTGTTTGTGGGCCGTGAGTGGCAGGGAATGTTTGTAGAGGCTCGGGAAAAGATCGTAAAGAGCATCAATCTTGCCAAATGTTTGAAACGCGATATCGAGAAATGGTCAGTCGATGATCAGAAGTTAGAGGAGTCGTTGAAACTATTGAAGGTAAAGGACTTTGTACATAGACTGCTTTATTACGAAAACTAAACAAAATGCTAAATTTTCTTTTCCTTTCTTATTTATAGAATACAGTTCTAGATTTAAGACATTGCATAACGGTAATAATCGAGGACTTTCAAAGAGATGTCGATGAAGTGGAGCAATCGAACATCGAGAGCGACCAAACACCTTTACGCTCGAGGATCCGCGAGATTCTTCATCAAGCTTACAGGATGGGTTTCGAGTTTCATAAGGAGATGTGCAAACTGTTCTCACTAGAAGAAAAGGCCATTCTAGCGCGTGGTCTAGTATCATTCGCGTTGTTGTGGATGGAATTCGTGAGAACGCGATGCGAGCGTGGCCGCGGCTTGAGGCCCAGATGGGCGAATCAAGGTTTGGAGTTCTTGATAACAGTGTGTGAGCCACACAATACGAAACATCTCACCGATCAGGAATTTGAGGAATTAAAGACATGCATGGATCGTTGTATATCTCATGTAGTGGGAACCGTATCGGTTGCAGGATCGACGCCGGAGACAGAAAGTAGAGTAATCATGATTTTTTTGTTATAAATTGTAATCCTTTTATGGCAGCAATTTTTTGACCATCCATTTTTGCAGTTACAAAATTCGATTGATAATTCAGGAAATTATTGTTTTATAAGTTTCTGTTAAACAATCATCTTAAATATTTGTACATGAAAATGATTAAGCGAATAAGTTTTATTACGATTCTTAACACTTTTTGTTTTCAGATTTAAGAAGACTGTCGCGATCAAGAGCTTCATCGCCGAGTCATGGTCGCACTAGAACTACGAGCATCAATCTTTCTCAGAAACCACGGGAGGCTCTGAAATCACCCGAATTATTGATTAATGCGAAGAAATGTAGCTCATCAAGCATGGTTGATGGAAATCTTGCGGTGATAGTAAACATACCCGAGCAGGGCACGCAGAGGCACGAAAGAGTCATTTGTGCCATCAGAAAAATGGAAAGTGAACTCGACGAAAGATTGAGGAATCGGGAGCTTATCGGACAAGTCACTGATAGAAAAGGAGTCGATAGAGTTCACATCAAGGTGCGAAGAGTTACATTTACATGGCAGAGAGGTATTAAAATAGGTACGTTCTTTATTGATTATATACAGTGTATGCGTTAAAATTATTTGTTGTTACTAGGTAATTTATAATGATTATTATTTGCAGTTAATTATATTAACATTCATAATTGTAGCATTAGCCTAATGAACGAATTTTATTATGCAGGCCAAGGAAGATTCGGCAAAGTGTACACAGTAGTGAATAATCAAACAGGTGAACTGCTAGCCATGAAAGAGGTGCAGCTGCAACCTGGCGATCACAGAGCAATCAGGCGTGTTGCTGAGGAGTTACAGATATTTGAGGGAATCCAGCATCAACATTTAGTGCGATATTACGGACTAGAAATTCATCGTGTACGATAAACGTAACATAATCGTCGGCACGATATGTCAACTCGCGGCGCAATAAATATATATTATTATAAACATATAAATTCCGCTTCTAGGAGGAAATGTTGATTTTTATGGAATTCTGTGCGGAGGGAACTCTTGAGAGCTTGGTGGCTGGTAGCGGCAACGGATTGCCAGAATCTTTGGTCAGAAAATATACTCATCAACTCCTTTCAGCCGTAGCAGCGCTGCATTCTCATGGAATAGTTCATCGAGATATTAAAAGTATATTGTCTGAATAAGATGGTTTCTCGCGTAAAGTAATATTATCTATTTTAAATTATTTTTTCTAATCGCACTTTTTTTTGCAGCTGCGAATATCTTTTTAACAAATGAAGGCAATTGTCTGAAACTTGGTGATTTTGGTAGCGCGGTGCAGATTAAAGCGCATTCGACGATGCCTGGGGAACTTCAAGGTTTTGTCGGCACTCAAGGTTAGTATTTTAATTATTACACAGTAAAATCTTTCATAGATTTATCTCATACAGTTTATTATATCACTGCTATTATAAAAATTTAATAAAGTATCAAGAAACTATGAATGTAAAAAATATATTCTTATTAATTTTTGCATTTAATTCTCAATTATTTTTATTTTGTTGTTTAAAGCTTACATGGCACCGGAAGTATTTATGAAGTCAGGAAGCGGTGGACATGGCAGAGCTGTCGATATTTGGTCGGTGGGTTGTTGCATCATTGAAATGGCGAGCGGACGGCGACCTTGGTCGGATTACGATTCGAATTATCAAATTATGTTTAAGGTAAGCTTGCAATTAAATAATTATTATATAAAATTATGCAATTTTATACATATAATAATTTTAACAATTTAAAAAAAATAAAAATTAAGATCTTAAAATTAAAAATTTAGAAATTTAAATTTAAACTATCTTTGTTCTCTCTTACAAGAACTTGTGCATGTGAGTGTGTGTCTGAAATTTTTAAAAAATTATTTTAGGTGTTATATATACATCATTTAACTCGAAATTTTTTATTTTTGCAAGGTTGGAATGGGAGAAACACCGGCTCTTCCTAAGAATCTATCTGCGGAAGGCATAGATCTCATAAAGAAATGCCTGCAGCACGATCCAAAGAGAAGGTCGACTGCGAATACACTTCTTGCACATTCTTTTGCGCTAGGGGAGTACGAGGATGTCAATGCTGACTTAACGATGCTACGATACTAAGAGTGTTCAGAAAAATGTGAGCATTATTTGTGAATTTTAATCTTTTAAATGTGTAATCTTTTTCTGTCAGCGATTTTGGGATGAGATACATCTTTGCGCAGACAATTTGTTGTGTACACAAATAATTTGTTCTAATTCTTTATAAATTTAACGTAAAGTTCAAAAACGAATATTATTTCTCTATTTCTTTATTTTTTTATCTACTATTTTTATCTACTTTTCTTACAGGAGATAGCATGGTCCTTGCGGGAATGCAGAACTGGCATTTGTATTTTATTGGTAGAATTGTTTCAGAAACATATCTGCTATATTATGTTGTTTTTTATTTGCACTTTTCTGAGAGATTTAGTATTTAATATATGTTTTAATGAGACTTTGTTAAAAGTATATAGTATTTGTGGCAGACTATACAAAGAAATGAAAATTGTATTTGAGAATACCATTGATGAGATCAGTATATAATACGTAAGTATTATTGTGATCATATATATAATTTACGATATAATTATAAGGAAAATATTTCACAGGAGGGACACTTTCTTTTGTCTACATTGATAAGTAATGATGTTAAAAATGTTTAATAATACATTTTTAGTATTGAAAATTCTTGCAAATTAAACTTTGGCATATATAGCTAGCAAAATATAAATAACAAAATTGAATTTTGCAAATAGTTGGAAACAAATATTGTATTCTAATAGAAATTTTAATAGACTGAACAATAAGATTCACTAAGAAATATTTAGTGAGAAAAAGGAAAGTGCAACTTTTTTTAGAGATATTCTTTTAGAGATACTCTTTATGTATCTTTATATTTATTATGTGTGATTTAAACTAGCCATGCTAGAATAAGTTCAGTGATTTAGCCTGGAAAAGTGGAAGACCGCGAAAGCATTTTAGTGAAACATAATTTAGTGTGATTGCATATAGAATCTACACATACAATTTAGTTCAATCGAATAGTATGTTCAAAGAAATAATAAAGGGGGGGAGGGAATACATATGGTATTTAGGTACATGAAGATATAAATTGAGAAACGTATATCTCTCTTCAGTTTTACTTAAAAGACAAAAGCAAAATATATATTTTCTATTTTGTATTTGCATTTATAGTTTATATAAGATACAGCGTAGTGCTGCATATTCTTTGTAAATATATATTGATATGAACGATAGACGCAAATCATTTCCCATTCTGAAGATCATATATACACCTCACAATTAGCATTAAGTGCAGCAAATGTCAAACGCTCATATTATATCAAACCCATTTTTTCCATTAGATATATAAAATTCAAGTTTTGACGTTAGTTGTGACCTACTATGTGATTAATTGTAAGTGTGATTAAGATACCTTTAAGGTATAATATACATATAATGGCAGCTTCCAATGTTATGTCTATGTTATATTAATTGCTTCGTAGACAGGAAGTGGATGATTTGTTACTATTATGCAATAGAAATTCTATTTTAAATAAAACGATCGAGAGTAAAAGAATAAAACGAGCAACAACGACTGTTATTTTGATGGAGTTTATTTTTCTGTACGAGGAAACGCGTACACACGTGATGATACAACATACTTTGATGTGGATCAATTACTTAGCGGAGGTATGCTGTGTATGCTTTCCGCGCGCAAACGGAAAGCCGAGTGTACTTATTCGTTTATCTATCGAACGTTTTACGCACAAAAGTACATAACTTACGCCATGAATTTTAATCCTTATATCTGAACAATCTCTTTATCTTTAAGGAAAGGACCAAATTTTGATTGTACATTTATTTAATATATATATTTAACAAAACTCTATAAAATGTATTAAATAGATTAGCTAAATAAGTAAATTCAGCTAAAAGGATTGAATAATCTCTTTCACTTGCAAAAAATAAAGAGAACTAAATTGTTCACTTAAGGATTAAAGTCAGTCATACATTACCCAAGAGCTTGTGTGCAAACTCTGTGAAAAAAGAAATCGTATAGAAATTATTAAAAATATTAAATTATAATATGTCAAATTGAATATGTTTATGTCAGAGTTCTTGTTAAACTATTGGGTTGTGTATGAATTGGTTATATATTTAATATATGGCGTCAACAGTATAGCTAGAAATCATAATTTGTTTTAATTTTTCAGTATTTATGGTGTATTGGATCTTATTTTTTATTTTTTGCATGTATTATATTATACTTATATCCAGTTACGACAAGAATTTAATTTTTTCTTCAGCATTTGTTACATGACGAACTGAAAGTATATATAAAAGGATGAGACATAAATTAGGTATATTATATATACATATATGCACCGAATTTGGGGACTGCAGAGTCAACAATGTTGCTATATATCATATATATTGCGATAATATTCATGATGATATCATGTAATATAACAGAGTTAACATTTTCTTATGGAAAGAATAAAGAAGAGATTATTATATTTAATACAAAATAATTAACATTTTCATGATATTTGACATATTTAACACAGTTGTTACATAATACATGAATATTATTTTTTTGCTATTTAATATATGTATAAAAAATTGAAAGCAAGAAATATTGCAACTTACGTTAGACGAATCAGGATAAGAGAATTATAAGTAATATTTTATATTACATGAGAAATTGAAAATAAGAATGATACAAATTAAGATTTTTAAAAACTGACTTAAACGATTGCATTATCTATAATGGCTTTTATTACGCTAATAAATATGACATCATTATTCTCACATGTGCCCCTATAATTCTCGCGTCGAGTAGCATCTATACTTTGTAGCTTTGCAAAGATTCAAGCACTGATCCAAGAATTGAAAAAGCTCAGTAAATATACAATAAAAATTAGTATATGTATATACACTAATTTTTTAATGAATATGTTAACAACAATGAAAGCCACCTTCGCACACAAGAAGTCGCATACGTGAACCTCGACGTTCAGTTTTATATTTCTAGCTGATATTCTTAAAATAACATATTATAATTACTCTTATACAGTTATTTTATTCAATTCTCATAATTCCATAAGATAAATTCTATATCTATTACTATTAATACTACTTTCACAGATATGCTCTATTATTATATATTTATACTTTCATTCTTATCACGCTTTATCACCCCGTGACGCTAACATTAACAGTCTTAACGCATATATTAAAGTGTATACTTTCTAATAATCAACGTGTTTGTAGAAATAATATTTCCATCACTCATAACTATAGATACACCGATTACTTATAGATCTTTGGAACTATGAGAAATATTTTTTAATGCTAATTATATAAGAGCTTTTGCTATAGTTTCAGATACCTGTTATTTTTTTTGGTATTCATCACTTTCGCCAATTATTTCAGAAATATTTCTTTCGTATTTGTCTTTTATTTAACATTAAATATATAATCTGTATTTTTAATACTCATTTAAATGAATATCAATGTTTATTGGCAATTATTTTTCATTCCATAATTAAACATGGCAGTACTTATACCGCGTAAAAAATTATAAAATCGTTTTGTGTCAGGATTCACGCAATGCGAGATCACTCCAAAAACAACGAATAATTTAACGTACTGATATATATTTTTATCTACTATATTTAGAGAACTCTCACAAGTTATACGTTTGTAATTACATCCGTAAGCGTACCTATCGATTTATCAGGATATGTCTTATCCCGGAATAAGATCGTTTGCTACGTTGGCTTTCGCCTGATATGCGTATGATATTCTTGGCCGCAAAAGTGCGATCACAATAGTTTCTCGCGATATGTATAAGTAAAGTATCTCTAATCGTATTTTTTGGCCTTAAGCTAATAATAGTAGTATATATAGTATTTGTGTTTTTTCCTTATATCTAATATAGAGAAAATTTGCACGTATCGTACGTATACAGGGTGCAATTGAAACAAATGGGAGGAAGAGAAGGAAATACACTTTGGGAACGAATTGCACCGGAAATATATATAAATATACATATATACATAATAAACTTTATAATTAAACATAGAAACACTTTTTTCAAATATTGATGCGATTCGTTCCGAAAATGTTTTCAATATATATTGCATATATTGTGGCTATACCCTACATACGCGACATGTACATGCTTTTGAACGCACGTGTTATGTAATGTACACACACATTATATATATATTTTGTCCCTTTCATCGTTTTTCTAACAATAACGAAGAGGCACCGTGCTCTCTCGTACATTTCGCGAATGATAAATTTCCCGACTTCTTTTCCCCATGCGATTAACTTTCGTAAAATTCGAAGACGTGATTTATAACACTAACGAATTAATCGGGCAATGATAACGTAAATAATAAACATAGCAACACTTTTTTCAAATTTTGATGCGATTCGTTCCGAAAATGTTTTCAATATATATTGCATATATTGTGGCTATACCCTACATACGCGACATGTACATGCTTTTGAACGCACGTGTTATATAATGTACACACACATTATACAATATATATATTTTGTCCCTTTCATCGTTTTTCTAACAATAACGAAGAGGCACCGTGCTCTCTCGTACATTTCGCGAATGATAAATTTCCCGACTTCTTTTCCCCATGCGATTAACTTTCGTAAAATTCGAAGACGTGATTTATAACACTAACGAATTAATCGGGCAATGATAACGTAAATAAAGCTCAGAAGAGACGGAATGAAGCGGAATGGAATATTTTCGAGGCTGATTTTAAGACCAGACAAAAAATGCTGAAATTTCTAATTGAAAGAGCAAGGTGATTTGCAGGGTGATCACTTTCTTCTTTAAGAAATTAACAAAATATTAATGCAACAAAACTAAAAAACGGGACTCTAACAATATCGTAAAATATGAATAACGTCAACAGATCTATCGCATTTAACGCTGATAATATACAAGTAAGAATGGAGAAGATGAAGAAGATTCGATATATCAAGAATATTAAGGATAAGAATTTCTTTACCATCAGAATTGCACAAGATATCAATTATGACGACACATCACATGATATGATATTATGTAGTTGATTTTTCCCGCACAAATCTGACGGTAAAATAATTTTTCTCGTCTCAAGCCTTCTCCGTGGTATCGATTTTCTCTCATTTTCTTTAGCAATTAACTAGAATTATATTTTAATCGAGTAGAATTAGGAAGCTAATTAAATGCGATACTTAAGCACTTTATCTTATAGCCGTGACGAGACGATCCTTTTCGATAATTATCCTCAATCGCCATTACGTCTAGAACAATCACGCGATACTATTGATAACATTAACATCCCAGTACGAGAGGACAGGGCGAGCGCAACAGATCGTGTAAATTATCTAAATCGCGGAGCCGAAGAAATACATAATTTTTTTTACTTCTATCCGGTGAGATAATTCAAATGCATTATTGTCGAGAAAAAGGGGATTATCAATGAAAAAGTTGTTTTTATACGAAAAGAATTTTATGCCATCTGATATATATTTTATATATATATATATTTTAGATATGTAATAGATTTTTATAAAAAACCGACATTTTTTATATCATAGATTGGCTATCTATCAATTTATTAATTTCTAATTGCAGATTCTTTAGCTGATTTCAAATTAATTTTCTCCTACAGAAAGTATATTGAAAGAAATCATTTATATTTATATTATTGCAATTTGTTACTTTTTAACTATATGTGTATATTACATATTTTTATGACTAGAAAGTCACAAATTAAATTTTTGTTAGTTTTTTCAAAATTAGCTAAAGATTCTATTTTCTTTGCTGAAACTTAGTTTGCCAGGAATTTTTTTATATTCAATTGCTAATTATTAAGAAACTATGATGATGGCTCGAATTTAGACAAGCGAAAAAAATTTGTCACATTAAAAGATGCGATATAGAACATCTTTAAGATATTATTCTTAAGATATTAAATCGTTTCGATATCTAATCGCTTTCATTTGGTCCTCTTTTCATTAAAAATCCCCATTAAATCAACAATAATACGTATTAAACACCATCATCACATCAACGGCCTAATACGAGCGTAACAATATCAGCATAAGGATCGCATCAAGCGATACATTTGTCTAAATTGCAGAATTGGAGAGATCTATCTCCTCCAATTCGTGAGATCAGCATGTACTAATATCAAGGTTTGAGGCCGGTATATTATATTTCAGTGAGATCACCTTTGCATACATTCGCGGTATTGCGAAATCTGAAATCTCAACAAAAGAGATTATCTCATCTTTTTCTCAATATATATAACTCTATATTATATATCTCAAAGAAGATATTAATTACATATACAACTGTTATATCAATAGTTTAATTACACATGCAATTATCATTGAATTTCAATTGTTGTACATATAGTTAATTACAATATCATCGGTCTCAATCCCTGGCAAAGTACGGGTAGTCGGCTATCTAGATTGTAAATCGTAGGAAGTAGAAGAATAGCGCGATAGAGACAACAGATAGAGCTATACCGTCGACGGTCGAGCCCGTCTCTTGACAATCTCGAGCGGCGCGATCCGCCGACCTACCTAAGAATTGGACAAGAGTTTACTGTGCGGGCGCCAACATACGATGAGATTGGCCACATTTAGAGTGTTCCTGCCTGCGGTAGACGAGCCCCGCGCGCTGGAAAGCTACGTCTGCGATAATCGTATAAAGTCAACCGTCGAAATCTCGCAAATTGGACCGTATCCCTAAAAAAAAAATAAAAAAGTAAAAATAAAAGGAACTTGGTCATTCGATCAACCTATGAAAAAGCAAACAACATGAATGACACGATGAATTTACGAGAGATACACGGAGAAAAGCGAATCGTTATACGTTATTAATTATACTATAGAACGAGGTATAGTACGGATAGTTTTATTCTCAGATGACTTGAAAAGTTCTTCTTCGAAAAGTCGACTTTGCGATGGAAAAAGATTAAAGACGCGATATCTTTTTTTTTTTTCATATTTCAAGATATAGGAACATTATTTTCTCGACGCTATCGAGGAGGAAATTTCTTGTATTCAACAAGTCGATTGATGGGTATCGAGGAAACGACATATTCTTAAAGTATATAAGCTTCTGAAAGTACGAAACGTGGCAGAAGAGCGTGTGTTGGAGCGATTTTTCCAGCGCTCGGGCATAACACTCGAAGAAACTTTATTCCTCTCTCCTTGAGCGGACTAGAGTTTTAAAACGATCTACAACATTCTCGCCTACTATACGATGGCTACCGCTGAAGGATCTTCAATTCGCTAATGATGCGAAATTATGTTCACGCACGTGTGTTTGTGTATTCTGTATGTAATCTCCTCTAAAAAACAGACAAGAGAGAGATTCTCTTCTAGTATTAGACCACATGTAATCGAAGAATATCTTAAGGATTACGACAGCTTTCAATGAATTTGCGTGCTTCGGCGACGCTCATCTCTTCATCGCTACATTTTCCCTTTTCTATATACTCCCTAAAGATTATATCAAACCAGCGATATATTTAACGAATTGTGCGGGAGCGAGTTCCTAAATCTCTCTGCACTACACTTACGTTCGCATTTCTTAAATCTATACGACAAGTACTTTCCCCCGTGCAAGAATGCTTCGAAAGTCGTGCTCTACGTTTCCTCTTCACAATGAATAATTAAATTCAAATAATTCACCGTGCGAGATAACTACCTTCTTCTCAGCTTTGAAGTCTGACGACGCAATGAAGATGATGCGATACGACGAAAATAAGAAAAAGATGCCGTTTCTGCTGTACACATTTATAAAGCCGGATTTTTTGACACAGCATGTGTCAAAAGACACCAAGAATAATGAAATCGGCTTCAATGTCATTCAACGTGCGTTTTGTGGGTTCGATTAGCGTTTCATCGAACCACCCTCGTGCGTGATTCGCGAAAAGCTCGCCCTCTTCTATCTCACCCCTACATCCCCGCCGAGATGGACGAGAGGCTTTATTTGCGGCTCTACGTTGTAAATGTTAGTCGAGCATCTATCACTTCTTGGAATTCTTTATCATAGCCGCCATATCTCGCAGACTCTGTTCCAACGTTTGCGCGAATTGCATCGCGCTAGTCCGGCCGTCGCTGTGGAAGGCCGAGACCGAGAAGATGAAGCCGTTTTTCCTCACGTTGTAGGCGCATCCGTAACCGTCTGGCACCACCGGCCCGTATCCGACGATCACGTCGTTTTTCGTGGTCACCTGCAAGATCGATCTTATTTTTATATTTAAGAATATATATTTTCATTTTTATTAAGCGAAGATTTAAACATCGATGCGCTATTATGGAGCTAAAAAGAAAGATATCCTATTTCTTTGGGAAAACACGTGGAGAGATTTCAAGATGATTGAAAGATTTGAGTTTTATAAAATATTGCTTCGAAAGAAATATCACATGATAACTGGATATTGAATGTCATGTTGGAATCTTATACACGTAGCTCTTACATAATTACATCACTTCTCTTAAACAAACTGATCGTATCGACCTCGAACTGTCCAAATCATTAACTACCTGTGATATGAAGATGCTTATGACACGTCCGGGATCTTGACTTATATTTCGTCATGACAGACCACTTTAAATAACGATCCTTGCGAGACGCATTGGCGTAATAATAGATAATTAAAAAGCAAGGAAAGAGTACATCACTCTGAACAGATTTTAAATTATTGCCGACTGTCGTCGTCTCCTCGCGGAGAAATCAACAATATCGAATTTTCCATTTCTCAGATACGTTTAATCGCAGATATATTTTTAATTATAATAAATAATTTGCAAAATATATGCGATGCATACAAACATCGAGATGTTAATTGGATGGCAAGAATATGTTACAAATTTTGCAAAATCGACGCCGATGACGGATTCGGGAAGACAATCGACCCTGATCACTGACCTGTGATGTCGAGAGGGCGAAGTGATTAACGATCGCGTAAGCCTCATCCGTGAAGATGTCCGGCATCGGCTCGCCGGCCTCCTTCGCCGCGTAACGCAGCCCCATCAAGTGGTTGTCGATACCCTGGCCGTATATGTTGTCGTTCATCTCTTTGGTTTGCCTCTGCACCGCCAGGTCAAACAGCTCCTTGATCCTTTCCGCCTGAAGAAGCGAGCCGGAAGCAACGTTCAATTGAGTCCTTTGCGATCGATTTTACGATTCTTCTTTCGTCGAAGATTCTCGCGATACATGTCGAACGACAACGTTCGAAGGGAAATCATGAAGGAATTATTACACTTTGTATTTTAATCGTGTGAACTGAACGGCTGTTTTACTTGTGCGATATATTCGGTAAATTTTATTTAATGAATTGTAAGCCAATCTTTCTTTGCCATAGTTAATGATGAAAATGATAATTTTTCCCCTTCATGATTTATTTGTATAGTGAATTTCTTCTGTGACTACTATTATTTTGTGAAGTAGAGACGACATTCTGTGTGTGATAAGCTTTCTGCTTACAAAATGTCACAGTAAAAAGCAACATCGAACGTGAAAGCAGTAGACATTTATTAATTAAATGTGAAGATTAATGTTTCAAAGTAAATTGAAGTTTGATTGGACGGAAAAAATAATTAAATATATTTTGATAAAATAATTAAGCTTTCCGATCAAGATATAAAGCAAAAAACACAAATTAATGAACCGTTTCGAAAAAGATGCGTTCGTTTGAAGGAATATTTTTATAACGAATATCCACTACGTGAAGTCTAAAAGTGACGATGGAGGAAAAAGGAACGGCTGAGACAACAGAGCGCGGTAAATGAGAAACAACAGCTCGTTGCCGCAGTATTTTCCCGAACGAGGGTGGATCGTGTAAGGGAAACAAACGGAATATCCTCGCGAAACTTGCCCGGGGCTCTCGAGGATCGTGTAAACACTCGATTGCGCAGGAAGAACGAACTGTACCGCGGCCAGGTCTAATTGATTGCCTTTTTTCTCAGGAGTATTTATTCTTTCTTTTGTTCATCGTCCGGCACACCCGCTTAAATTTATAGATCTTATTTGACATAGTAATAATAGACATTTTTGTAACTGCATCTTTTTCTATTTTGTTTTGGAATTTTTATGTTGAAACTTATTTCGACATACAATAAAATGTAAACTCTTTTAAAAAGAAAAGTATTATCTAAATATAATTAAAAAATATAAGTTATTCAATAATTTCAATTGTTCTTGATTTAAAAATGAAAATAACGTATATATATATATAAATCTTTTTTACCAGTACGAAAACTCATACATAACATTTTCACACACCAATATCTTTGTGCACGTTATAGATAAATATACATATATATAGTATAATAAATAGCAAAGCGTGTAATTACAGAAATATTACATAAAAATAATTGGTTAATAAAATTGACGACAACAAATATATAATAACAGGAACAATAATCTAATCTGAATAAGATAATAAATAAAAAAAAATTAATTAATTAAAATAATTAATAGTCAAAGTTTGAAATTTTGGACAATCTTTTTTTTGGAATCGCTCTTTTCTCTTTTGGAATTTACTCGCGTAAGAACCCCTGAACGAAGGGCTTAAAGTGCGATGTTTTCTTCGCGAATTGAATGCATGTGTGATCGTATTTAATCGATATTTTTAAATACAATATTATACGCACTTTTGATCAATTCTTCTCGCGCCTTCGCCCAAGCTGGTCGCTTCGCGGTCGTGAGAATTCCAACGGGCGGTGTTCTAGGATCAGCCTTGGTCTCCATGATCCTTAATAACTGTTGGACCAATTCGGCCTCAGTGATCCGACCTCGATCGGATGCTCTTACCGGCACGCTATAAAACTGCAACAAAATAATCAAAGATTATGACATTACGCGTGAAATATGTATTTCTTCTCTTGATACCGCATTCTTCGGCAAATTACTCGATTGTACATCAATAATGCGGAGATTAAACAGTTGAATTTTTAATTAACTAATATAATAAATAAACGTGAAACAATAGTATAATTAATTTAATCGATAAATGAAATTCTTGAAATAGTAAAAACGTGACTTTGCGCGCGCGTTGATTACAACATTGTTCAATTCTGAATCACTTCATTAGTACGAAAACTCATACATAACATTTTCACACACCAATATCTTTGTGCACGTTATAGATAAATATACATATATATAGTATAATAAATAGCAAAGCGTGTAATTACAGAAATATTACATAAAAATAATTGGTTAATAAAATTGACGACAACAAATATATAATAACAGGAACAATAATCTAATCTGAATAAGGAAAATATGTAATTTTTGATAATAAAAGACAAGGGACACACGTTTATAAACGGAAAGAAAGCCCGTAAATCGAAACCTTTTCATAGGTGGATCCATTTGGCAATGCAAATGGACAATGCGACCAACCACTGAGAAACTTTTCGTAGCACTGCAAAAAATGTATCGTCATATACATACATAATAACAATGCCTTTGAATATACAATTATCTTTTACTATGATTTTTTTTTATAATAAAATTACTTTATAATGATTAAAAATGGACATTTGCAAAATTAAAAAATTGCCGACTTAAGAGACTGCCGATTGAAAATACGCGAAGATTTTTGCAAATAGCATTTTTAATTGGCAATCTTTTAAGTCGTAAAGAAAATTTCTTGCAAATGTGCATTTTCAATTATTATAATATCCATTACTTTTAATTTTATAATACCGGCATATATATATATTAAGGTTTCGTTATTTCGCGCTATCAGTTTTCTTAATTGAAAATTATCCATAAATTACCATAAATTATAATAAAATATATAACCCATGTATAAATAAAATCTATTTATTTATAAAACGCAATGAGTGTGGGGCAGTTTAAAAGATAAGGCAATAACAAAGCGAAAAAGTAAAATAAATAAACACATTCCGCTCGACCTTGTCACAACTTTGTCGAGTGTACTCGAGTTGTGTGTGTTACACGACACGAGAATCGCATAGGAAAAATGCCAAGTTTCAGTTACACTGTAAATGGTGAACTGAACTCTTTTGGGGCTCCCGTCTACGGCGTTGTTGGGCTGACTCGTTTGACCGTGAGGATCACCCTGACACATGGCCTTTGCCCATGCGAGGGCTTCCGGACTGGCTGCTCGGATGCAGTCCACTCGACCCAACGCGAATCTCCGGATGCCAGCGCTCTCGTAAGTGGCTACCAATTTCCCATGGAGTCTGCAAACATCGCAAAATCGTCCTGATGAGACGCGACGAGAGCTTGACGAATTTTAATTTATCGATATTTTGATTCTCATAGACTTTTCATCATTTGACACATAACAATAGAGAAAAGTAAAAGAAGATGTTATGTGATTTTTAAATATAATTTTTGCTATCAAGATGTTATATATATATAATCAAAATATAAAAGATGAAAGAAAATTTTAAAGTGTATGAGTTAAAAATTAAAAAGGATAACTCCATCACATCGGTTTTAAATATTTTACCTAAAATATGTCAGCTGGAGCGATAATTGTATGTATGCGTCGGGACTAACTCTGCATGACTTTATGAAGTCTTTGGAATAATCTTCGAACCACAAAATACAAAGGTCCAAATCTTCGACCAGCCTGGAACATAAAGATGCGACTATTTCTGATTGTGTGGATGCAAGTTTACGCACAGAAGCTTTTCCGTTACAGAATGATCAACTACGTAAGATGTTGCGTTATGAATCAACGATTGAAGGTATTTTAGAATCGATTTTTCTTTCGGATTGGATCTGCTATAAAGAGAAATAAATGATGAGCCTTCTCGCGAGTACTCACGCATCGAAATTCATCATGGCTTCTCTGATGTCGTTCAGACTTTGCTCGGTGAGACACCACTCCAGCTTTTCAGGCGCCGGAAGATGCGAGGGTACTAAATTCTCATCCGGTGGGGACATAGAGTCCACTTTCTCGGTTAATTCTTCGAAAGCTTTGAAGATGGCCGGTGCCTCGCCAGCGGAATGCTCGTACGTCAATCCCCACATTCCATCCTGCGTTAGACAGATTTGTGAAAAAATCAAGTCAATAGCATTTTCCATGATAAGTTTCTAAAATAATGAGATTTCTCTTAAAAACTCTCTTATAAATGCTAGAAACTACGAATAACTTTCATTAAACAATAACATTATTGTCAATTGATATAAAAATATAAAATGCAAAAGATTCTAATTCAGATCATGAGAAAATGATTAAAAAATGCTTACAAGTGGAAAAAATGATAATTATTTAAATATAAATATATAATAGAGTAATATATATTAAATAATTAAAATTTATAATTCATCCATTACTATTTATACCGCATACACATATTATACCATCTCAAATTACGCAGGTTTGTAAATTGTGTAAATTATGTAAATTAATATAAATGAGGCGGTTTAATTTATTCCTTCTTCATTTTATTTGTGTATTTGTATGTTAACATTATTTAATAATGTTATTTATTAAACTATATATATATATTAATAACTGCTCATATATATAATATCTCAATTATTATATGTGTGAGCAGTTATTAATATACAATTTCATTAATAATATTAACATATAAATATACAATACATGTATATACAATATATGAAGAAGGAATAAACCAAACTGTCTCATTTACATTAATTTACGTAATTTACACAATTTACAAATCTATGTATTTTTATCATTGCAGATATAGAGAAACTACAAATATCGTATCTCTAGCGCGACAAATTAATAAATTATTCCATCACAAATATCATGATACGAAATTGGATTGAATGATATCGCTATTTTCATTAACCTAGGAAATATCGCGATAAGAAAAAGTTAAAAGGTATTTCGTCGCGTAGGATATGAAAGCGCGGTGTCGTAAGTCGCAGATTCACGAATAACGATTTCGCCCGTGAACCCTGACACCAATCATATCAAAAGGTGGTATTGGAAACGGTGAAAGTGATAAGTTCAACTTGGCCGAGAGGGCATCCGCGGAAAATACATAGGTATTCACCGCGAATTGTTACGTGTGTTTGATTGGGGATTCACAAAAATTGCGAATGGCGTTATTTTATGCGTACCAGGTGTATAATTTCGCGTCGCGTTGAATATCTCCTGTTTACATCTGGTTGAAAACTTTTGTGCGCATAATTGCATTGCATTAATCAGGAGCTTGATTTCCCGTGCGGTCGTCGAATGTAATCATCATTAATGTTGCGTATGCTGATTAATGTTACGGCATTTAACTATGTTTATTTAACGATGTTTAACTGTTAAATTAAATATACGTACCTTGCCGAGAATAGCGTGGAAGGTTTTGTCGAACCAACGATTCGCGCCCAAGTGCCGGGACCCTCCGCCGTGAAGAGCGTGATGAAGCACGTTCGCGTAATCTCGATCGTCAATCCATCGGTCCTCTTTCTTCATGGGATTGTTAAACGTGGTTGGCAGTACATCATCGTCAATACAAACGACGCATAGACAGCGCTCCAACAGCTCCAGATTGTGACGATTGCGCTCGTCTAGAAATCATTTGTAGTCTCTCGTTAATTCTGATAATGATCAGCTGCAGCGATATCGCGATTTTCGCACCAAGTATAATATTCGCAACATTGTTATATGTTGTTATAATGATTATGTGTAGCATAGATATGTACTAATGATGAAGTAACGGTATACTGCCGCTATACGACAGGAATCAAAATGGAAGGAAATACTTGGAATTAATTTCCAAAAATATATGGAAAAAGAATTTGGTTCCTATGATTTTGTTTTAAATCTAAAAATCAGAGATTTTTCGTACAAATTAAATCTTAAATCAATTAAAAATATATACTTATGATTTGTATATCTTAAAAATTTTTATTAGTTTTGCTGTAATATATATTCACATACACACACACACACACACACACACACACACATACACGTATATATAGATATAAAAGTAATACAAATCATCCTTTTTTTCCTCGAGATGAAAAAGACAACAATCCGAATTACGTAACGTAACTTTAATTAATTTCTGTATGCATATACGTGCGAAACGTATCGTGCGAAACATCAGCGCGCTTGCGCTGACGAGATCTGTAATAACGCAGGAAACTCGGTGAATATTTTTACTTTAACGAGAATTACAATCTCTTTCGTTGTCTATCCATGATTTTCCCGTCGTTAATTAATCAACGCAGGTTGCTGTTAACTCGTTACCGCCAGCCATTTATTCGATTTGTAGGCGTAGGTAGGTAGATCGTAGATTCCCGTTGAGCAAGGTCGGGTTAGAGAGTTAATGGGAATATTGCGAATATTGGTGAAGCGGAGAACACGAGCGGATAATTATGGTGAGAGGGTAGGCACGTGGCGACGAGGGTCGTCTAAAGACGCGACCGGGCTATTTTTTGGGTAACTGGATCATCATGTTCCTCTTTAAAACGACAAAATAAATCGTAATATACAGAGCTCCGCGAATTTAAATTGATTAACTGACATCGTTTGCGTTTACTTTTACAAGAAATTAAATATATATATATGGACCAATAAAGTTTTACTTCCTTCCCATAACTAATATAGCGAAACATTAAGAAAATTAAGACTGTGCAACGAAAAACATCTTATTTTTTTTAGAAAATTTTGGAAAGTCTGAATCACTTCATTACCTGATTATGGTGCGCGACGATAATATGATCGCCGGAGGACGCTCTATCCAGGATGATTTGCTCGTCGGCGTTCACACCGGGTCGCCGATAAATCCGAAACATTTGATAATGCTGTGCCATACAGAGCGGTTGCATGGTTTTACCGTCCTTGGATTTCACACGTTCAACTTCGAGTCCGGATCTGTTCAAAGTCTGAAGCTTATTTTTACATCACAGTAATTTATTTTTGCATGTTTCTCTTTGTCATATAAATGAATTAAAACGCAAATAGCCTTTACATATTGATATAAAAATATTTGAAAAACAGAAGCGTGTATAAATGCAATTTGTTGATTTTGAAATTCTTAATCAGGAAAAAAAAGTAATACTAATAATTAATATTAATAATTTAATTCGTACATTTGCACATTCGCACTTCTAAAGCATTTGCGGGGAAAAAAAGATTTGGAAGATTTGGAAGATCCAAAAAACCATACAGGAACAGGATCAATTTTCCCAAAGAATGCATCGTTTCTCGCTTTCGGATATATCTCCTCTTCCTCGCGAGATGAGACGGGCTCGTTCGCTATTAAGAAGACCGACGGCGGCCTCCCGTGAATTTGCGTTAGTTTTTGAAAGAAAGGAGAGCACTCTCCACGCAGCCCCGGCTTATTCCCATCCGGATGTAGGATACCGTGGATCCTTTGAGACGCGCTCCACGCACCGGAGCGGGAACGTCCGCTCATTCTCGTCGCGGCTCCCTTTCCTCTTTATGCTCGCTTTCTATGGATCTTACGGCCCGGATTTCCTCGCAGACGTACGCCCTCTCTCTAAATTGATTTCAGTGCGGCTTCTTTTTGTCCCCGACTGAGACGACGACGACGACAACGATGAGTCGATTGGCACGTCGCGTCTTGTCATGTCACTTCCTCGCGCCTATCGCGATTAACTTAAGGCAAATTAACGCTTTTTTCGATATTAATGACGATCATCCCGAATGTATCATTCAAAATGAAACAATAGTGTTTACAAAGAAATAATCATACCAATTTAGATAAGCCAGTGTGACAGTGGAAATGAAGTGGAAATGAACAGCGCTACATCTAACGAAACGAAATTTTGTTTCAGAAAAGGGATTGATGCATCTTGAATCATCGGAGAGAAAGAAGAAAATTGCTGGAAAATTGAAGCATTACCTGTCGAGTAATTCCTGATAATTAAGTAGTTCGGTGAGAAATCGCGCGACAAATACCGCGGCTTCCTGTTGGTTTGCAAATCTCTTCGGCTTCGCGGCCACGCCGGGGTTGCTGTTGATCGGTAGAGCCAGTGGGACAGACAGGTACATGTCGTTTAGCCACCATTCTGTCGCCTGTAAACAAATTAATATATCGATAAATATATAAATCTTTATACGTACATTGCGCAAATAATATTTCTAAACTGTAATCAAACAAGTATAATTATTGCGTTGTGATTGCAAATTATAATTAGATACAAAGAGAAGGTTATTAATTACTGGTTATAATTGAAAGTTATGTAACGGTCCGATTTATGTGATGGGTAATAACAATCGTTACGTTATAACGCGCGGTAAAGTATCGTGAGATTGCACAATAATAATTACGTTAATTACTCGAGATGACGCCGCGCGACGTTGCGTGAAAGTATCCGGAAGTGGTTATACCACTCGGAATAAAATAAATTAGAAAAGAGATGCGCGTCAAGGAAATCGCAACCGAGCGCATCATCAGTGGTAGTCACAAGCGTAATTATTTGACCGACAATGATCTGAAATATGAAATGCAAGAAAGACACGCTAATATGTCGAAGAACTACTTTATACTTCCCGAAAATAAATCATTCATTCGGACAAAATAATTGCGCACAATTTTTATTAAAATCGACAAAAGCTACACAAACACATAACTCTATTTATTAATAATAGATATAATATATTTAATATGTCTTTTAGAGGCAAGAAAGTCAACGACGCATGTTAAATCTTGGAATGCATCTCCGGACATTTCTCCCGTTGTAAATTACATCGTTGTCAAGTATGAGATTTAATTTTACTGTCACTTTGACTCCCTGTTCTTTTTTAATTGTATATAATTTGTCGTGTAATTTAACGTCGCTTTAACGTTGCAACGTTGTTTTTCACATTCGATAATCGGGGATCAGCCCCGGCGCGTCATTAAATGCGGATTAAACAATCGAGTTTTGTCGCTGCCTTCATTTTCGGTCGCGTGATAAAATCGTTCACGCTAAAAGGGGAAAAGTCACCGTTCAAAATCATATTCAAAGAATGTTTTAAAAAATTATAACTACTATATTAGCATAATATCTAAATGGATTTTTTATTATATTAGTGTATATAAAGTGCAGCAGAGATCCTGGGAATAAAGTAAAAATTAAAAAGATAATTCTTAAAGAGATTTTAAAAAACACACACACACTACAGAGAGAGGAGAGGAGAGGGAATTACTCACTCTTTAAATAATTTTTATAATTTCTTCCTTAATTCTCTTTTCTCTCTGGAATCTCTTGGGTTGGAAAAGATCTCTTAATGCTTTATTAAAATATCTTTTTATAATTTAGCTTTAATTATATTAAAAATATGCAAATTCCCAGAACGACTTTCTTTAACATCTTGCTCGTTTTAATACCAACCAAGCGTTTAATGCTTATATTCCTTTAACATTTTCATATTATTTAGAACTCGCGTATGCGTTATAGGAAATGCACAAAGTCACTCAACGTAATATATATATATATACATTGAATTTTGCTGTTTATCCGCCGTTTTGTGATGCTTGAGATGTCTTCTATTTATTTTACGACTCGTTCCACGGAGACAGTTGATGTCGCGCGAACTTTCTCGCAAGCATAACGAGATAGTCGAGAAGATACACGGAATATGTGTTATCATCGCGTGAAAAAAAATGTTTTCCGCAATACCTCTTCTCGCACGAGAAACTTGTAATAGAGGAACATGTCCCGTTTATTTATGAGAAAACGTGTGCATGCCCCGCAGACAGTTTTGCGTCAATGTTTCGTAGTACGAAACCATGTTAGTATCACGACAGAGTATAATATCGAGAGTTATCTTTCATTTGTAGAAAGATTTTTCTATTCAATTTAAAGACAATTTTTCCAAACGATATTTTCTTGGAAAAAAGTGATCTTTTCGAAGAATTAATTACTAAAATATTGGATATTAAAAGCTTGCGATAAAAATGAAGTTTTTCGACAATTTCGTTGATAGAAAATTTACTTCAAATTGATCAAAGAATCGAGCAACGATAGAAATATTCAGTAGCGGGATATCCCGTATGATCGGACCGCCTACTTTAATGCTGGTCACACCACGCGGGTAATTGCATCGCGCGCGATCGTAATTGTCATTTCATCCCTCGAAGCAAAGTTTCTTCTTTCTCGTCGTGCGATTTCAGGTCAGTGTAACAAATCGAGAAGCTCGCATGCATGTTTCACGAAGACCGTCCCCCCGTCGATACAATGTATCAGGTGCTCCGTGTGCTTTCAAATCGTCTATAGATAGAACTTACGAGCTCGACTTACCTCATATTCCGCAGAATAAAGGCTATATTTGACCAGAGATGACACCGTTTCGACGCGCAAGAACGTCGACGATGGTTCTTTTTTTAGATTGCCGATATAGTTTCGGTGATCCAGAACGAACAAAGCATCGCGCATTTGATGGAAACTTTCTTTTTTTCGCAGACCGCGAGAATCTTTGTTCCTTAATAAATCTAGTCTCTCGACGGTCTTTCTTTTGAAAAAAATTCGATGAAACGTCTAATCGAATTTTTTTCGATCAAGTTTTCGCGAAAGACATAGAAATCGACGAAAATTACGCGATT